CCGACTGAGTTATGGTGGATCTGTCCACGTACCCCCCTCCAAAGCGCGATGTGGGCAAGGGAGAAGAGCGGGCCATTTCACCTCGATATTGCCCTTGCGTTTTACACGGCAAGAATACCGTTTCGTGTGATTGATAACCCGCATCTGCGTCGTTCTCTCACTCGCTATTGCCCGAATATGAAGCTTCCAACGCGCCAAGGTCTTGCAACTACTTTCTTGAATTTAGCCTACAATACGGAAAAGGAACGTTTGGGACAGATTCTACAGCGTCAACCACGGCTGGTCAGTCGTTAATCGAGAAAGCATCGTAAACTACGTTATCATGTCTCCCAAAATGCGGCCGATGATGTGGTCATCTGGTACAACGGGAGGTCAAGCTCATACTGGAGAATTTATGGCATCTGAGATTTCTTGCGTTATTTCCGAGGTGGAAGCTGTCGCGGGTGTCGGGGAGGTGATTGCCGTAGTATCCGACAATGCTGCGAATTAAAGAAAGCTGGACGCCGTGTTGAATTGAGGCACCCAAATGTGGTCTTCAATGGTTGCTCTGCTCACACTATGAATTTGCTACTGAAAGATATGTTCAAAATTGAGTTTTTTGCGAACGTCTAAAAAAAGCTGTGAAGCTGTTAACATTTGTACGGGCACGACACCTCCTTCTGGACCGAGTTCGTGCCAAGCGTCGGGCTCTTCCAAAGAGAGCAAAGACTGGTGAGGTGTCGGCTCCGGTGTCTACAAGATGGTATACCCAAGCGAAGTGTATAAAAAGCGTGGCTCGCAACAAGTCGCCGTTGAAGGCGGCGTTCGCCGATACTGAGCTCATGCTGCATTATGCTGACGCAGCAGCTGCTCAAAACCTCAACGATGTTGTAGACATACTGCAGGGCAAACAGTTCTGGGCTAGTGCAAGAATCGCTGTTCGGCTGACCAAGCCTGTCACGCGCGCGCTCGCCAATTTTGAAACTGATACAGGTTCCAATTCGATGATTCTGCACGAGTTTGAGCGATTAAAGCACACAGACGTGTACACGGCTCCTATTCCGACCCATCTGTGCAGGCCAAAACACTTGCCTCGATCGATGATCGCTGGAAGCTCATCACTCCACCTTCCAACTCAACAAGAATCGCATACTTACTGGACCCATCCAAGGACACTTCTGGTTTTACTGGCGACAGTATGCGCGATACAGTTGCAGATGCTGTTAAGCTGGCTGAACGCTTTGAATTGCCCCCGGATATTAGTCCAGCTAGCTTGTGTTTGGAGCTACTGGACTTTATTGGCATGAAGAAATCCAGGACTGCTGAAGAGAAGACGAAAGCTGGTACAGATACGCCTCTGCATTGGTGGCTGATGGACGAAGATTTCCCCAAACTGTACCGCTTTGCTGAAAAGGTGCTCAGTATTCCTACTTCATCTGCTGCAAGCGAACGGCTGTGGAGTGTTCACGGATTTACGCAGACCAAGCTTCGTAATAGCCTTTGAGTTAACACTGCTGATAAACTCGCTTTTATCTACACGAACAACGGTGATTCTAAGCCAACCAGTATGCCACTATACCAGACACCTTCGACAATGAGCGATTACTGCAGCGATAGTGACAGTGACAGCGACGATAACGGTGATGAAGATAACGATGAATGCTTATTTGACTTGCGCGACGCCGAATTTGAATACTTATTGGATGCAATCGTCAGCGTGGACATCTCTTCTGAAGAGGAATAATTGTAACAAAGCGCAGCAATAACACATTCGAAGTGTGACCTCCTATTCTAATTCTTGGCTCTAATGCCCCTCTCTTAGGTTGGCCGGGAAATTCATGGTGTTCTGGACGTTGCCGCTCTCAATTTCCGCACTGCATGTCCCAATATCTTTGCACTCAGAATGTTATCATTTCTTCAGTTGCTTAGGTGAGGGTGGCCGCAGCATTTGAATAGTTCCACCATGACGTTGCGAGGGTTGCTGCCACGCTTCAAGAAGGATGTGTTTCTTTCTTAAAACGCACGGTACCGTTGCTTCTGCACCGGTAACTCTTCGACCTTGTTCTTGGGTGAGTACCCGTACGGAGTACACAGTGATATCTGCGTAGCGATTCACAGCATGAGGTCTGGTTATTAAGTATGTGCGCTTCATCCGCTATTAGACACCACCAATGGATCTTTGATAGCACGGCAATGGCCTTGATCGCCACTTCGTACGTTGTCATGAGAA